CTGAAAGTTTACTTTCTCTGAGAGCTATTTGTGTTGAGAATCACTGCATTTGAGAGTATACCTGAGGAGAGGCATAGTCACTTGGGACTGCCTGCTAAGGACAGTCACACTGCATTTTTCTACACTTGGGGGCATTGTCTCTACATGCTTGATCAGTCACTGTAGGCTTTTACCTATACAGTGGTCCCCCGTTGTTTGTAATTAAACCCTTCCTGGGGCCTTTACTTTAAAAAAAATTACAATTTTGAAACAATTTTCCCCATAAAAATAATTAAATACAATTAAATCCTTCCTGCACCAGAAGTATTAAAACAAAATTTTTTTAACATGAAATATGCATGTAGTAATAAACAATAAAAAGGAAATGATGAATGAACATTAACAGCTAACACTTACCTTTATTGGAGATTCCTTAGTGTAAAGGGAGACAGGAGGAGGAGATTTTGGGTTTTTTATAGTTTTGGGAAGGGGGAACCCCTTCCCTCAACACCCCGGTACCATTTTGCTTTTTTTGGGGGTTTCTTCTTTCTCTTTTTTTCTTAAAGCCACTAGGACCACCTTGAGAGTCACTGGGTTCTGTCTCACAAAAAAACTTGGAGAGGCTTGTTTCTGGCGTCTCTTTTAAAATTCCCCAAAATGGCCCAAGACTTTTTCACTGTACAGTTGCCCCCTGGCTTGCAAAAAACCTTGTTAGGGTGGTTTTCCCGAAAACTTTCCACTTACCCCCAAAAGTAAAAACTCTTTTTAATTTCTGAAAAGGCACTTTTTTCCATCTCTCTCCCTCCCCCCTTGCAGCAAGATGGGAGCTGCGATGTGTTGCTTTCCTGAAAAAAGCTCCTTGCGCTCCTAGTGGGAGCTCTTCCCCAAAATTCTTCCACATCCCCCAAAACTTACTCCAACCCGGACTCCCCAGTGCCAAAATTGTTTTTTACACAAATAGGTCATTGGGGTCAGCCCCAAAATTTTTAAAAAAATCCCTTTTGTCGACACAATCGGCCCAATTTTTCTCCAGGGATTTAAAAGCCCCTGGTATAAACCCCCTCCAAGCCATCCCAAAAGGGGTTTTTGCAGTGGAGGATGCTAAATGTTCTCCCCAAAATTTCCCCTTAGGGTCAAGTAAGTGTCTGTGGTCACACCCCAAAAATTTGTGAAACATTGCTTTTGTGTAGATTTTTTTTTAAATTTTGCAAAAACCCTGCGGTCCAGGTTGGAGGAGAGGAGTGGATTGGGGGCAAGAACTTTACTGTTGAACCCAAACCCCCAAAAATTGTACCCAAAAGTTTGGGGGAGACGGGTGCATTGTCCTTTACTAGCACACTTGAGATCCAATTTTTTTTCCCGGAGATACTCCTTCACACTAGGGCCAAACACTTGAACCACTCACGAAAATTTCCCCTCGTGCCCCCATCCCTTTTACTATTAGTTTTTCCAAAACACACACAATTTATCTTCATAACATTTTTTTTTTTTTTCCTGAACACTCGGGGATTTTCAAAATGGTCACTAAAAGTTTCCCACTTTGAAATCCCCACTAGCATTTAGCACAGAACATTGTGTCGCCTGCTTTAAAGGGTTTGTGCCCTGGCATTGCCTTTTCCTTTGTGTAATAAAGGGTCCCTTTGCTTTTTTTTTCCCAAAAAAGGGCCCCTGTTTCGTCACAATTGAAAAACTTTTTCAGGTTTCAGTCCTTCACCCCTATTATCCTGGAATTCATGCACATATTTTTCAGACCTTGTGGGGCCAACTGGCACCTACCATCCCTTTTCCACACTGTTATGCCGTACGGTTCTTAAATCTCTCAAACCCGCCTTTGCTGGCCTTAAATTTATCACTTCACCACTATTTTCGGCAATTTTCTTTACCAATCTTCATGCAACTCCCGCCTTTTCACAAATAAACGAAGTCATAAGGTTTCTCCCGCCAATTTGCTCTTTATCCACACCAATAATAAAATTCTCAACCCTTCCAGTACTGGTGATTCTTTTTGTCAGCATAGTTACTCCCTTTGCAACAACAGCATCCTTATTTCATTTTTTTTTTGGGGCCCCTATGGAACTAAGGGGTTTTGTAGGGTTTCTTTTAAAACCTGGACATTCGGCCATTGTACCACTTTCTTTGTTCAATGATGGTTTTCTTAAAAATTTAATCGTATTTCACCTTTTTTCCACAGGTTTGGCACTAGGGGCTTTCCCTTTGGGGCCATGGACTTATTTAGTACTTGCAAGCACTAAAAAAAAAGGAATATTTTAAATATTTCGTGGAGACGTGAGGGCCCTTTGCTCACTGGTAAACAAGCCAGACTGGGGTGCGCCCTGGGTCACGCCGTGGTACGCGTCCCCGGACGAACTCGACCGGAGTCAACCTATAAAAAACGAGTCCATGTTTTTACGAAAATACTCTATGATTGGCGAATTTTAAAATGGGCCCGGGGAAATCGAAAAGCGGGGGCACTGATTTAACGGGAATTTATACCACTGAGGAAGTTGTACACAATCTGGGGCATTTTAATTATACTTGGCACTTTGGGGGAATTTCTTTGCGCATTTTTTTCCCCCTTTAAAATGTCCAACGTAGATCTATGTCCACAACGGGGGGGTCCGAATTTAACTACGTTTTTTTTTTTTACATCCTTTCAAATGGGGAAAATCAAGGTCGGAGCGCTACGCACGTGAACATAGATCTACGTTTGGACAGTTTAAGGGTTAAATAAAACGTTTAACAAAATGGGCACCGAATAAGGTTAAGAAAACTGCTGAAACCTTTTAGTAAAAATTGTATAATCTAAAAATGAGATTTTGGTGACCTGTACTGTACTTGAAAATTTGCTGCTCAAATCGCTGCACAATATATTTTAGCGTACTTAACCCTTTGACTGTTTACGTCGTATATATACGTCTTACGTGCCACTGTTTCCGACGTATTTAAACGCGTAAATTCTACCAGCTGCAAATCAAGCGGGAGAAAGCTGGTAGGCCCACATGTGAGAGAATGGGTCTGAGTGGTCAGTGTGCACCACATAAAAAAAATCCTGCAGCATGCAGTGTATAATGATGAAAAAAAACCGTTTTTTGGGGGGATTAAAATGCTGACTTTGAGGTGTATTTTCGTATAGTATTTATCGTTGTATTCTCATTTTCATGGTCTCAGGTGATAAAATGGAAAACATATTACAGAAATATAGATGATTTTCATTACTTTCACGATGAAAACGACCTTGAAATTGAGCTCAAAGTAGCGGAAATGTTCGATTTTTACCAATGTTCAGGAGTAAGCAAATTACACCACACGTCCAATACACGTCAACTGGGGAGTCTAATATTCTTTCACTAGTGCACTGATATTATTTATACCATTTTTACAATAATGCAGTAGACTGCATAACAGTAAATTTTGTATTTTTTTGTATGAATAAAAAATCAAAATAGCAATAGTAACATAAGAGGGGCCTAGAGACGTGACTAATGAACAGAGGATATGTTATTTTAGTGCCAAGAATGTCTACATTGTTTATTCTGGACCCTATTTTGAAATTGGCATCTTTTTTAATTTGCATGAAATTGGCCAAATTGCCAATTTCTGACCACTTTATTGGGTAGTTCAAATTGGTAAATGGGCAGTTTCTTGTACTCAACTGATAGAAAAATGGAGTTCTAAAGAAATAGCTATGAGTTTGGTCAACTGAAACAATGGAATTGGCCAAAACAGGGCTCAAAGTCGGCGAAATTGCTGATGCGTATATGTCGCCGAGACCGCTAACTTTGCGAGTTTTCGACCAAATTTCGTACTTTTGGTGTCATTACCATCGGGAAAAGATTCTCCATCATTTCACAAGAATTTTTTTTTTTTTTCCAAAACTTTTGTGACAGTTTCAGAAAGGAGCTTGCGACAGTCAAAGGGTTAAATCATTTTACATTATGTTGTGACCACATAAATTGCATATTGTATACTACGCAAAGAAATAAATACAGTGGACCCTCGAATTTAGTAGTGCCTTTTCTGTATGCAAAACTATTTTTATTATCTATAAAATGTATGTTTTGTTAATATTTCCCTTTAGGAAATAATGTAAATCCAATTAAACCATTCCAGACACCCAAAAATATTAACAAATACATTTTATAGATAATAGTTTTGTATACAGAAGAGGCACTACTTAATTCGAGGGTCCACTGTATTTGAATCTTTAACTGTGCATCAGAGGAAAAATATTGTAATGTAGGTAATACACTAGATACACCCCTTGGAAAGAGGTGCTGTGATCAAAGAATTTCTCTTGACTTTTTCCTTCTTGAATTGAACCTTAATGCCTCTCATTTCCCAAGGTGCTGTACAACCCCTATGGTTGTGCCTACCCTCCTTTTCCTCGGATCAAATTGCTTATTTACATGACAGTGAATCGTAGGGGTTTAGCACCTTCATTCCCCACCCACACATTGTAAAAATTTAAATTTTAATAGTGATAAGATACAAATTGATTTGTGCATGGAGTCCTTTTTTGCATTTTATTAGTAGTACATAAATTATGTTTATGTTCTAAAATGTTTTAAAGGTGTGCTAGTTTGTAAATTCATGGTAGAATTTTCTCTTATTTTAATGTATATCAAGAAAAAATAATTTTGGTTTAATAAATGCCAAAGTGAAGCTGATTGTGAGTGATTACTATGTTTACCATTAATCTCATCTATTGTTCAAGTATTCATTTAGCCTTAGTCAATGATTTGCTGGCTGTCACAGACCTATTGTAGAGGTTTAAGCATCGTTAGACATTAATTGGAAAAAGCATCCCTGAAGGAGGTGCCTTGATACTGATGAGTGGCTCTTGATTCAAGGAACTGGATTTACTTACTCTTGGATGGAACCTGAATGCCACCGTCATTAGGCACTATTATAAACCCTACAGGCATAGCGCGTCCCCAGATTAAAAACAGTCCTCGAGTAATTATTATCACTTAAACAATTGATAGAGTCGCCTTTTGATGTTGGTGGTGTATCATTGCCAGTGACTCCTAGCTCCTCGCCCATGCCTCGGCCTGCTCTACCCGCTGCTAATCTACTCTACAATGGTGCCTCTTCCTACTCCAGCCCCTACTCCACCTTGGTGCGTACACAAAACTATGATTAAGGTACCAAATTCAGAAGTTTAAAATTTTTGTATTTACAGATGTGAAAATATTCTTTAGATCGCTTCTCAAGGATATGGTAAGAAACTCTGTTTTTCTTAGAAATGGCATGGCTACATTTATGCATATACTACTAAAGTGGTTCCTTTAGTCAGTGCTTTATTTTTGTTCATTGTCATTGATTATATTTTACACACTTCAGAAAGGTTTGTCACCTTTGTGCAACTGAATGTGTAAATGGTCTAATTGATGCTGGTGAGAGGATCCTGATTAAAATAACTTATCCTACACATGGGAAAAAGGGGATACAAATGTAATTAACATGATTCTTTATTAACAGGTTTTACTCAGAGCTTTAAGTCACAGATCTGACTAGAGTATGCTTTATATACAGTTGTACCCTGAATTTCGGCCATAATTCGTTCCAGAAGGCTGTTCGAGTGCCATTACCGAACAGAATGGCAGGAATAATGTAAATTAGATTAGTCCATTTCAGACCCCCAAAAATACACTTACAAAAGCACTTACAATAATACACTTGCATAATTGTTAGAGTTGGGAGCTGTATGAAACCCAGGGTACCACTGTATGTGTATAGACACGTACTGACAAGAAGGTTCAGGTGAGGAGTGAAGTTTATGGCTGAAAAGAGGTTGGATTTGAAAGACCTGCCCAGCATGGGCCAGTAGGTCTTCATGCAATGTACTATAGGATAATGAAGCTCTGGCAGTTTCAGCTAGTTGTAGAAGACTTTCTGGTTGAAATACACACCTGGAGAGGGTTTCGGGGGTCAACGACCCCATGGCCTGGTCTGAGACCAGTGTTGATTCCAAGATCCTGGGTATCTTGGTGATTAACCTTGTCTTTTTGTGAAACAGGTGTCCAAGTTGCCCATTCTCCTGGTGTATTTGGAGTTCCCATGTCTCCAGATGTTTTGCCCACTTGCAAGGGATGTGTGTACCTTCTTCAGAGGATGAAGCCTGGTGGCTTACTGATATCTTAGTGAATACAGTAGTAGATGCTTGGAATTCAGTATTGGAAAGAATGATGGAAATGTTTGGCACTGTAGTAGGAAGGACTATCTTTTGGCAGTATCATGTCTAGGCGAGTTGAAGACGAGGATAGTGAAGTTTAGGTTTAACTGGATTATAATCCTACAAGGTCATACAGTGCAGCAATCTCACTTGATAAAAGCCCACTATGGGCAAAACATCAATGCTGGATTGCACTTGTTTCCTTTTCCATCTTGTCCAGTCTGAAGAGGTTTGCCTTTGCTCCGCCTCCTTACCACTGATTTGTATCCATGTACTTGAAAATGCACCTCGTCTGAAAATATAACTTTTCTCTATTTGCCTGTCTATTCATTTTGATAGAGTACCCACCACAGCTGTTTTTGGTTTGTAGCAGCGGTTGATAATTGTTTCTGTACTGGCTTTCTGGCAGCTCTCTTCAAAGAGCTAGATCTTTGCTGGTTTCCTTTGTACTATTTTTTATAACTATCATCATGAGGTGTTGTCTTGGGATACTTTTTCTTTCACTTCATCAATGCAACACTCCATAATTATCAGTGTCGTCAGCTCTCTCTAGAATCCTACAAATAGTGGACTTTTCTAGGCTCAAATTTTTAGTGATCTGATACTCAAATCAGAGTTACAATACTTTAATGCTTCTTAGGAGTAACATCCATCATGAATTTCAGCAGTAATCATGAATTGAACTGGAGAATTTGGTTAAATTACACATAGCATGCTTGCAATACCCTTACAGAACAACAGCTGGTGTAGCACTGAGTCACAGGTTAACACCACAGCTGGATGGTTGCCAGAAGTCTCTAACAAACTTCTGAAAAGATCCCAAGTTACAATAGTTAAGCTGGAGACTAAGATGTATGAGAATCATGAAATTTATTTGTTCCAATTAATTTGCAATAATGTTGAAGGATAAGTTATGGCAGGAAAAGAGGGACTATAAATGTATTAATTCAAGGATTATGTGGAGTAAAATAAAGGTTGGATGTGAAAAGTGGGTTATAGTAAGAATATATGCACCTGGAGAAGAGAGAGGTGTAGAGAGATTTTGGGAAATGTTGAGTGAATGCACGGGGAGTTTTGAACCAAGTGTGAGAGTAATAGTGGTTGGGGATTTCAATGCTAAAGTGGGCAAAAATGTTGTGGAGGGAGTAGTAGGTAAATTTGGGGTGCCAGGGGTAAATGAAAATGGGGAGCCTTTAATTGAGCTATGTGTAGAAAGAGTTTTGGTAATAAGTAATACATACTTTATGAAGAGGAGGATAAATAAATATACAAGGTATGATATAGCACATAATGAAAGTAGTTTGTTAGATTATGTATTGGTGGATAAAAGGTTGATGGGTAGACTCCAGGAGGTACACGTTTATAGAGGGGCAACAGATATATTGGATCATTATTTAGTTGTAACTACAGTTAGAGTAAGAGATAGATGGGAAAAAGAGGAAAATGGCAACAAGTAAGAGGGAGGTGAAAGTGTATAAACTAAGGGAGGAGGAAGTTCGGGTGAGATATGAGCAACTATTGGCAGAAAGGTGGGCTGGTGCAAGTATGAGTAGTGGGGGGGGGGGTGAAGAGGGTTGGAATAGTTTTAAAAATGTAGCATTAGAATGTGGGGCAGACATTTGTGGTTATAGGAGGGTGGGTGCAGGAGGAAAGGGGAGTGATTGGTGGAATGACGAAGTAAAGGGTGTGATTAAAGAGAAAAAGTTAGCGTATGAGAGGTTTTTACAAAGCAGAAGTGTTATGAGAAGAGTAGAGTATATGGAGAGTAAAAGAAAGGTGAAGAGAGTGCAAAAGGAGAGCAGATGATAGTGGGAGAGGCACTGTCAAGAAATTTTAATGAAAATAAGAAAAAATTTGGAGTTAAACAAGTTAAGAAATTCTAGAGAACGAATGGATTTGTCAGTTAAAAACAGAGTAGGGGAGTTAGTAGATGGCGAGAATATTTTGAGGAACTTTTAAATGTCGATGAAGAAAGGGAAGCGGTAATTTCATAATTTCATGCACTGGCCAGGGAGGTATACCATCTTTTAGGAGTGAAGAAGAACAGGATGTGAATGTAGGGGAGGTGCGTGAGGCATTACGTAGAATGAAAGGGGGCAAAGCAGCTGGAACTGACGGGATCATGACAGAAATGTTAAAAGCAGGGGGGGATATAGTGTTGGAGTGGTTGGTATTTTTATTTAATGTATGAAAGAGGGGAAGGTACGTAGGGATTGGAAGAGAGCATGTATAGTCCCTTTATATAAAGGGAAGGGGGACAAAAGAGATTGTAAAAATTATAGAGGAACAAATTTACTGAGTATACCAGGAAAAGTGTACAGTAGGGTTATAATTGAAAGAATTAGAGGTAAGACAGAATGTAGGATTGCGGATGAGCAAGGAGGTTTCAGTATTTAGATGAAGGTAGGGAAGTATTTATTGCATTTATGGATTTAGAAAAGGCATGTGATAGTGGATAGGGGAGCAATGTGGCAGATGTTGCAAGTATATGGAATAGGTGGTAAGTTACTAAATGCTGTAAAGTTTTTCTACGAGGATAGTGAGGCTCAGGTTAGGGTGTGTAGAAGAGAGGGAGACTACTTCCCAATAAAAGTAGGTCTTAGACAGGGATGTGTAATGTCACCCTGGTTGTTTAATATATTTATAGATGAGGTTGTAAATGCTAGGGTGTTTGGGAGAGGGGTGGGATTAAATTTTGGGGAATCAAATACAAAATGGAAACTGACAGTTACTTTTTGCTTATGGGAGATTCTAAAGAAAAATTGCAAAGGTTAGTGGATGAGTTTGGGAGTGTGTGCAAAGGTAGAAAGTTGAAAGTGAACATAGAAAAGAGTAAGGTGATGAGAGTATCAAATGATTTAGATAAAGAAAAATTGGATATCAAATTGGGGAGGAGGAGTATGGAAGAAGTGAATGTTTTCAGATACTTGGGAGTTGACGTGTCAGCGGATGGATTTATGAAGGATGAGGTTAATCATAGAATTGAGGGAAAAAAGGCGAGTGGTACATTGAGGTATATGTAGAGACAAAAAACATTATCTATGGAGGCAAAGAAGGGAATGTATGAAAGTAGTATAGTAGTACCAACACACTTATATGGGTGCGAAGCTTGGGTTGTGAATGCAGTAGTGAGGAGGCAGTGAGGATGTCCTGTCAAAGGGCAATGTGTGGTGTATTATGCAGAAAATTCAGTGTGTGGAAATTAGAAGGTGTGGAGTTAAAAGTATTAGAGGGCTGAAGAGGGGTTGTTGAGGTGGTTTGGTCATTTAGAGAGAATGGATCAAAGTAGAATGACATGGAGAGCGTATAAATCTGTAGGGAAAGGAAGGCGGGGTAGAGGTCGTCCTTGAAAAAGTTGGAAGGAGGGGTAAGGGAGGTTTTGTGGGCGAGGGGCTTGGACTTCCAGCAGGCGTGCACGAGCGTGTTAGGAGTGAATGGAGACGAATGGTATTTGGGACCTGATGATCTGTTGGAGTGTGAGCAGGGTAATATTTAGTGAAGGGATTCAGGGAAACCGGTTATTTTTATATAGCCAGACTCGAGTCTTGGAAGTGGGAAGTACAATGCCTGCACTCTAAAGGAGAGGTTCGGGATAGCAGTTTGGAGGGAAATGTCGTTTATCTTTATACGTATATGCTTCTAAACTGTTGTGTTCTGAGCATCTCTGCAAAAACTGATTATGTGTGAGGTGAAAGTGTTGAATGATGAAAGTATTTTCTTTTTGGGTCGCCCTGCCTCGGTGGGAGATGGCCGACTTGTTAAAAAAACTATATATATATATAGTGTGTGTGTGTGTGTGTGTGTGTGATTTTGTAATGCAAAATGTTTTTTGGTTTTATAAGTTTATCACAACTGGGCTTTACGGCATTAAGATATACCCTATGTAAAATTATGCATAAAAATGTATTTTATTCTTGTAATCAGGGAGATGCACTAAACCCATTGGGAATATACAGCACATGGGGAATGGGAGGTACTTAAGTTTGATCCAAGGGGAGGATAAATCCAGTTCCTTGGATCAAAAGCCCCTCGCCAACATTAAGGCACCATCCTTGGGGGAGGGGGGGGGAGGTAATACAATTTAGTTTTAGTAATCAAATTTACAATATGCAAAATTAATTTCTAGATTAAAAGAAAGTTTCTACTGAATCTTTCAAGGTTTCATACTCAATCATTCTTTTAAAAAATATTGAACAGAATTCCTCTTATATTCAGAGAATTTATATATAGTATATCCCTCCAAGGGATATACTGTATGTAAATTGGTGTAATGTATGCGATTGGTGCAGAAATACAAGCATCATTAAAATGTTAGCAGTGTAGAATGTAAAACCCAGACGTAATGATTTTTCTTAACTTAGGGACGGCCGGGAAGCCAAAACGATTCTAGACCTTACAATCAATCCCTTACAGTCAACACCCAGCAAGAACCAGTTGCGTAAGTTATACTCTTATTTTTATTCATCCTTGTTGATGCAACATTTTAAATTAGATTTATAAACTGTTTTATTATAAAGGTAGAAAGAGGAGTCATAAATTTTGTCCGATTAATTTACGAGCAAAATTTGATGTGGTATGTGAATTTTAGGTACCGTGCGCTGTACAATTATAAACCCCAGAATGATGACGAGTTGGAGCTTCTGGAATCTGACGTCGTGATGGTAATGGAGAAGTGTGATGACGGCTGGTTCGTTGGCACTTCTCGTAGGACAGGTCTCTTTGGCACCTTCCCCGGAAACTATGTAGAGAGGGTCTGAAAATGATAAAAATAGCTACAAGCCCAAAGCTTAATCCTCAAATCATGAATTCCTGTGCTAAGTCTTTTCCTGGGGCCTTTCATAAATACTTAGTCCCAGAGCAAATGTTTTTATAATGTTTATATGTTTATGAAATTGTCTAAGTTTAGAAGACCTAAGGACATTGCAGAGAAAATTTTGAGGTACAATACATAAAAGCAATCCTGTAGTGTAGCAAGAGACCAAGATTTTTATTGAGAAAATGATACTATCTATATAAATTTTATCACTGGACTGGGTACCCAGAGTATCACAACATGAATTGAAGGTCCTTATTACTTGAATACTGAAGGGCATACTGATGTGTAGTGTGTATGTATATACATGTGCACACTGTATATATGTATGTCTTACATATGGTATACTGTGTATCAAAACAAATGAGTTAAGATTGCAAAAATCTAATTTTGTGCCAATCTGATGATGCCGCTGCTTCTGCACTGAATGATGATAATTTGATTTCATATGATTTTTCATATACAGTGATATAAATTTTGTTAACTTTTCAGTTATGTTTTCATCACAGTACAGTACATTTAAACTTAATTGTAATTTGGAAGAATGTTTGTAAAGTGCACATTCTTGTCCAGTATATATATGTGAATCGTAAAACGTCCATGTTTTATGCACAAGGCACACTGGTGCTGAAGTAAACCATTTAGCCTGTGCATTTGTGTATATCAGAAGTAGCATATATATACATGTGACTCAGTTGTATGTGAATGCAAAAAGATTGTCCTTCAGTATAGAGGATTTTCTTTCAAACTGTTTGGTAGTGAACACATCACAAGAGTCAGTTCAGGATTTGCACGTGTCTAGTCACACCCAAAGTGAATTTAATGAAAAAAAAAAAAAAACTATGTAGATGTCTTGTTAACCTCTGCAGGTGCTTTTCTCAATGTAACAATCCATTATAATATACTAAGCTAAAGCTGATGGAGCAGACAAAATGTTCTTGTGTTAAGCACATTGCAAGGCAAGAACTTACTCCTCCAACTTTGCTTAATATGTACAAGTTTCAGGGTTTTCTTCCAAAATGTCTTAATATTGCTCCTGCTTTTCTTGCCTTATATTCTGTATTTCTATATTTTCTTTTATTTATTCACCAGATTTTAGGCATGATGGATATGGGAGTGAATATAAAATACTGTAATGTATACTGTATTATATTTCAATGCCCTTCTATGTTGACAAATATAATTTTTCTTTGACATATATTTGTTCTCATTTTTTATCATAGATCATAAAATAAGGCTAAGTGTATAAAAAAAAAATTATTTGAAAACAGGCTGAATCCTGTTATACCCGAGTGGCAGTGAAGGGTTCGTGTTGGTGTCTTAAGAACAGTAACTGTTTAAAGCAAAGCTGCTTCCAACATACCTTTGTTAATATTGTACAAAGATGCTTTTATAGCTTATTTGTTAGTTATTTTATATTTACTGGTTTTATATTCAACAGAATCTACAAATGCAACTTTTCAGTAGTATGTTTTGAATAATTTCTGTTTTTATGTCACCTCAATGTATCCCAATGTTCACCTTTCCAAGGGAGACAAGGCAGTGTGGTCATGGCAATTGTGGCCATTCATGAAAATGAGGTATTTAGATTCTTAAAACCTTGCATTAATAAAGGTATATAGTGAGGGTTCAACTCTTTGAAAAAAGAGTAAGGAAAGTCTTACTGCGATGAACTCTGCCTGTGCTTCCATATCAATCTTCCTCTTGGGACTTGTTACAGCCATTATTTTATTACAAATTTAAGTGCTGTTAGCATTTAAGAGTTTTAGCTTTGCAAAAGAAAAATTATCCTGTATTTATCATACAAATTTTTAAAGAAATTGCTAATGTGTTTGCTTGTGTTTGTTATAAACTCACATGTTCAACAGTAATGTAGCTTTATACGATATGTCACTAAGGGTAAGTTCCTGCATTACAAAATGGATTATTAGCCTTATTGAGGTGTAAATTTAAGGCTTAATTTTTGGTGAGCATGTTTCAATTTTCTAATAGACTTTAGTTAAACAAGGCACACTACATTAAATATACTGACTGAATGAATGACAAAGCTTCGCCTCTACCACCATTATACAGAATAACATTTCTGAAATTTTAAAATCAAGTGCCTTTTTATGGTAGACAATGTACTGTTTAGATCAGAAGAGTTTGCCAGTAGCTGTCTTACCTCACAATGCATTATTTACATTTTAGCCCTGTGTCCCCCAAACCAAAATTAGGTTGTCAAATATACTTAACTGAATCTCAGAATACCAGAAGAGGGGGTTGTGTGGGCTTCTTCACTTCAGTATAATACTTTCCTGTTGTTATGCACAATTTACTTTAGCTAATCATGTAGAATACAATAAAGTGGAAGAATATATGTATTATTAATTCCTTATGTAAAAGTATATTCAAAGAATTAGGCTATTAAAGTCCAGAGAAGCAATGATTTTAAGATATCCTCTGATACTTGAAACTTAAACCATACTTGAATTTAAATTTTTATTAAAATGCAATCCTGAAAAAAGTCAAAATCTTTATAAAAACATGATATAAATGGCAGTACATTATTATTATTATTATAATCAAAAAGAAGCGCTAAGCCACAAGGGCTATACACCGCTGCAGGGTAGGGAAGGAAGCAAGGGAATTGGATGGCAGAAGGGAGGGGGGGATGATCAGCAGGTTACAGAAAACAGCGGGGCAGGGGATAGTACGGGGGTAGAGGGTAGCAAGAGATTGAAGTAGAAAGGGCTGAAGGTTTCAGAATTTGTGAAGTCAGTCAGTTGTTGTCAAAAAGTCAATGAGAGAGTCCGGATGAAAGGTGGGTCCATCAGCAAGAAGGGAAGGTAAAGAGAGAGCAGCGGAGTGAAGACGACGACAGAGGTAAATTCTGCGTGCTCGTTGATAAAGTGGGCAGTCCAACAGAATGTGGCTGACTGATAATGGAGCTTGGCAATTCTCACAGAGAGGAGCAAGACGCCTCTCCATGAGATATCCATGAGCAAGACGAGTATGGCCAATGCGAAGACGGGAGAGAGTAGTCTCCCAACCTCGACACTGGTGATAAGAAGACGGCCAGTAACCTATACTCGGTTTAATAGATTGAAGTTTGTTGCCGAGCATAGTAGACCAACAACGTTGTTGCCAACGGGTGTGAAGGTGGGAAGATATTGCAGCAAAATAGTCCGTAAATGGAATACCTCTATAAGAAACTGGTAGGTCATGTACTGCTGACCGCGCAGCAGTGTCTGCCTGTTCATTGCCCTGTACGTCAACATGACCAGGGACCCAACAAAAAACAATATCTTTATGCTTGGTAAAGATGCGGCGTAGCCAAAGTTGGATACGGAGGACTAAGGGGTGAGGTGTATCAAATTTTTGTATAGCCTGTAAAGCACTAAGGGAGTCTGAGACAACCACAAATGATGACAGGCATAGATGCAATACGGATAAGTGCTGTAAGGATGGCATATAATTCAGCAGTAAAAATACTAGCCGAAGATAGTAAATGCCCTTGTACGACGCTGTCCGGAAACACTGCTGCGAATCCTACGCCGTCAGAAGACTTAGAGCCATCTGTGTACACAGCAATGGCATGAGAATGAGAGTGAAAGTGGTCAAGAAAAAGAGAGCGGGAAGCGACCGTAGACAGTTGGGCTTTCGAGCAAGGGAGGGAGAAAGAACAGACTCGAACAGCTGGAACTTCCCAGGGGGGTAGGGAAAAGTGAGATGCTACATGTACATAGAAAGGTGGTAGTTGAAGAGAAGACAAGAGTGAATGAAGGCGAAGAGAGAAGGGACGGAGTAAACAGGGGCGGCGAACAAATAAAGAATGTCTACTAATATCAGTGACCATTCTATACATGGAAGGATTGCGGAGATCATGAGAGCGTACATAGTAGCGCAGGCAATGGGCATCACGGCGATCGGATAAGGATGGAACGTTCGCTTCTGCATAGAGGCTCTCGACAGGGGAAGAGCGAAAAGCACTAAGGCATAAACGTAATCCTTGGTGATGAATGGGGTTAAGGCTAGAGAGAGTAGCAGGAGATGCCGCTGAATAGGTCTGGTCACCATAATCAAGTTTCGATAAAATAAGGGTGGAATGTAGGCAAAGGAGGGTTCGACGATCAGCTCCCCATGAAAGATGAGCAAGGGTTTTAAGAAGGTTCAGCCGGCTGTGACAAGTTGCCTTCAGAGAGGTAATGTGAGGTTTCCAGGATAACCTACGATCAAAGAGGAGGCCCAGAAACTTGACTGTATCACGTTCAGGGATACGGGAGCCATAGAGGTACAAAGGATGATCGGAGATGACAGAGCGTCTAGTGAAAGTGATTTGGTGGGTTTTAGTGCTGGAAAATTTAAACCCACGTGTGGTGGCCCAATTGGAAACACGGTCGACTGCATGTTGGAGAGAAACTGTAATGAGGTGACAGTCAGCGCCTGCACAGGCAATAGCGAAGTCATCAACATAGAGTGATGACCAAATATTTGATGGAAGACTAGAGGCCAAATCATTAATAGCAAGGAGAAAAAGTGTTGTGCTCAGAACACATCCCTGGGGGACACCTTCAGCTTGGATCAAGTCCGGGGAGAGCACATTATTAACCCGAACACGGAAATGCCTGTCAGTTAAAAAGTTCTTAAGGAAGGATGGTAGATTGCCTCGAAGGCCTAAGGAGTGGGCTTGGGCTAAAATATTATACCTCCAAGTTGTGTCATATGCCTTCTCAAGGTCAAAAAATATGGCAATAACTGAGTGGTTATTCGCAAAGGCATTACGAACATATGTATCCAAGCGTAGTAAGGGGTCTATGGTAGAACGTCCCTTACGAAAGCCATATTGATGAGTGGAGAGACTGTTGTGTGTCTCTAAATACCACACTAAACGTCTATTTACTAGGCGTTCCATTACTTTGCAAACTGCACTGGTAAGAGCAATGGGACGATAGTGGGAGGTTTCATGTCCCGTAGTGCCTGGTTTGCGGAAAGGGAGAACAATGGCGGATTTCCACAGCTGTGGAAGAACTCCTTGTGACCAAATAAGATTGTAAAGGCATAATAGGACTGCAAGGGCTAACTGATGAAAAATGTTGTAGCATACGAATATGAATGTCGTCGGGCCCAGCTGCCGATGATCGACAAGCTGAGTGTTGCCTCCAGTTCTTGAAGTGTAAAAGGCACATTATACTGTTCTTCTCTGAGAGAAGAAAAGTCAAAGGGTGCTAACTCTCTGGCAGACTTTGAGGAAAGAAATGAGGGGCATAGATGGCGTCCCTGAGAAATACGGACCAGATGATTGCCAATTTCATTGGCAACATCTAGTGGGTTTGCTATATCAACACCAGCAACCCGCAGAACAGGAGCCGGGTCAGGAGAATATTTACCACTCAGTTTTCGTACTTTTTTCCAGACTGCACTCATAGAGGAAGCAGAGGTGATGGTGGAGACATAATCTCGCCAGCAAGTACGTTTAGCATCACGGATGACACAGCGAGCGATCGCACGCTTCTGTTTAAAATCAAGGAGTCGCTCTGTGGTTCTATTGTACCGGTACCTGCCCCATGCAGCGCGTTTCAAAAACGTACTGCACGAGCACAAGCAGGAGACCACCAAGGCACGCATTTCTGAGAATGCCTGCCCGAAGTTTGGGGTATAGAATGAGAAGCTGCGGTGAAAACGGAGGACGAGAAGAGGTGTAAAAGCTCATTAATGGAGGACGAAGAAGGAACCTCTTTTAAAACAGTTAGGTGTGAGTAAAGGTTCCAATTTGCCCGATTAAATTGCCAGCGTGGGGTGCGAAGAGGTGGCGAATATGAAGGGGAAGTAAGAATGATTGGGAAATGATCAGTGTCATGTAAGTCCGGGAGAACAGACCAAGTGAAGTCTAATGCGGCGGAGGAAGAGCAGACTGAGAGATCGATGCAAGAGAGAGTATGAGTCCGAGGATCAAAATGGGTGTGAGTACCTGTATTTAAAACATGGAGGGGGTGGGTGGCAAGAAAAGCCTCTAACTGAATTCCACGGGAATCACAGTGAGACCCCCCCAGAGAAATGGTGGGCATTAAAATCACCAAGTAACAGAATCGGTGGCGGTAATGACGAAACAAGGAAGGCAAAATCCGGAATAGATAATGCCCGAGAAGGAGAGAGATATAAAGAACAGAGCGTATACCACCTATGTAAGTGGATACGGGCTGCTGTGTAATGCAGCGAAGTATGAACAAATAGCTGATGGTACGGAATATCAGTGCGTAGAAGAAGGGCACTTTCATTAAAGGTCCCATCAGGAAAAGGATCTGAAGAATACAATAAATTATAGCCTGAGATGTGAGAAATAACAGCAGAGTGTAATTTTGGTTCCTGTAAGCAAACACCAACAGGGGCAAACTGGGAGAGTAACATCTGAAGCTCACCCCGATTACCCCTGAGGCCGCGTATATTCCAATGTAAATAGGCCATGATTGGCAATGATAAAGATACTTGACATCCGCAGGTAAGGGTTCCTACGGACTAGAGGGGTTAGAAAAGTCCACATGCGGAGGCAGTGGAAAACGTTCAAGCAGCGAAGGAATGGTGCGCTGTGAAGAAAGGAGTTGCGCAGATGGAGCAGAGGAGAGAGAAAGAGCGGAAGGTGGATCAGTGTCCATTGATGGTTTGGTCTCTGCAATATATATTCAGAGATTGCTTCAAGTGTTTCGGAATTCAGAGATGTCGTATGGGAGACAATATTGGGAATGGTAGGGGGAGGATGAGTAAAGATTGGAACTGTATTGGACTGTACCAAGGTAGGGAGGGGGCGAAAGGGCGGAGGGAACTGGAGAAGCGTGGCAGGGGACAGAAGAGGCAGGAACCTGGGAGGTGGCAGAAGAGGAAGAAACTTGGGAGGGAACAGGGGAGGAAGGTACATTACGAGGAGGAGGGTGAACCTCTACACTTGTAACTGAGCCAGTGAGAGGGGAAGAACCAGGGACAGAGACAGGGAGGGTAAAATGAGGAGGTGGAAGATGGGTAGGAGGGTGTTAACGGACCTTTTTTTGACTTTTGAGAAGTAGAGGGACGATTGGGAGGAGGTGTCGTACGAGGTCTCGTCGATACTGAGGCTTGTGAGAGAGAAACTCGAAGCAGCGAGATTAGACTGAGGCGTTGATAAGTAGGGATGTCTGAGCCGAGGACAGCAAAAGGATTAGATACAGGAGTGATTATGGGAGAGGTAACCACAGAGGTGGGTGTAGAAGATGGGATACCAGAAGTGGGGGGACGTTTTGAAACACGGGAATAAGAAACACGTGGGAGTCTCCCTTGGAGGCGGAGATGAGAAACTGCCATGGCATAAGGGAGACCTGTCTCTTTGAGGTAACGGATTTCCCGCTCG